CTCTCTCTCTCTCTCTCTCTCTCTCACACACACACACACACACACACACACACACACACACACACACACACACACGTTTCCGTTGACTCCTCACTTTGTGCTTGTATGACTCTTGGTGCTGTGCAGACCCTGACATTGACAATGTCACCGACAGGCGGAGACGCTGTCCCCGCTCGATCATCGCCCATTCAGGGATCTCCGCAGGGTACCCCCGATCCTCGCCTAAGCGTCGATCGATCTCCATGTGCAGCGCGGGGGTTGTTGGGTGTTTCACCGCACAACGGTGGTTCGGAGGTCCGTTTGGGGAAACGGCGCCGCGGTACCGTTTCGCATGCGACTGACAGCGTCGTTGGCGCGGGCGTGACACCCATTTCGCCTTTCGCCAGTGTGTTGGGGGCATCTCCGCCGTGTGTGGCCGGGTTTCGTGACGCGGCCACATTTGGAGATGTGTACGGTGCTCCGTTGCTGCCATCCCCACTGCTGCCTAGACGGCTGGACTATGCGGCCACGATTCCTTTAGCACCTGTATGGTCACATGCGGTGGCCCCGCCATGTCCCGCCGGAGGCGGTTCTCTTCTAGGAGATCGCAGCGACGCTTTGCGTTCTCCACCCATTTCACGTCGACGAGTCGCCGACATGGCGGCGGGTTCGTTTGCGGTGCCGCCTCAGGCTCCCTTTGTCGCTCCAGATTCCACACCTCCATTTGATGATGTGGATAGCTCTGCGGCACTCGGCGGCACGCCGTGTTCGGGCGGCAACAACATCGTGCGAGTGTGTGTGCGGGACGTGTGTCGGAGACGGTTGTACGCTCTCCGCGAGGCTATGGCCGATCTCGGCGACCATCGCAGACCGGTCAGCGACGTTATTGATCGGTTGCTGCACTGGTCCTTGCCAGCCATCCGAGCGGAGTTTGGAGACGAGGTGGGAGATGTGATTTCTTTTTTGTTGCCATCTAGGGTGTGCGGTCGAGATTTCACGTTGCGTTATATGCCAGGCGATTCCGGTGTTGACTACGGTCAGGTGGGTTCACAGGGTTCAGCGAGCGGAGGGTTGGGTGAGTCTCATGACGGATCGCATAACTTGTTCCCATCATCGCGTCGTGCATCGCAGCGCAGTGATAGAGGGCGCGGCAGACCCCACAGCGAGGGTCGCTGCACACCGACACCTGCCCGACCGCAGACGTGGTAAGATAGTTGGGACGGTGTTGACCAGTGCGGTCCTGACGCTGAAATTGACCGTGCCAGTGTTGAGGAGTCGATGGGTAGATGGAGATGACCGACGACGCCGGATGTTGTGTTTCTAGAGCCGGTTAAGCTTCTTCAATTGCTGGCCATGTTTCATCTATATTGCCCGTGGCAGAAGGGCTCGTACCGTGTGTCTGTGGAGTCCGTCTCCTATCATGCGCAACTCTGTAACCTGACGTTCGTATGCGACAAGAAATGCAAATGGACGTGGCACACGACACTCTTGACCACGAACGTCTATCAGTCGCGACTGATGCAGCAGCTATTTCATGCCACGGTCACCGTCGGCCTTACGTTCACGCTCCTCGACAACTTTTGTGTTTGTTTAGGGATGTGCTCGGTGCACAAACTCACATTCTACAAGTTTATGCGCACAGAACCGGGGGGGGCGGAGGGGTGGAATGCCAAGGTCGTATGGCAGGGCAGAAAATATTGCGAGCTTGCCATTGACACTGTGATGCGCCGTGGTGAGTCAGTGACATTGATGGCTGATGGTCGATATGACTCTGCCAGAGGCGCACAGCATTGCACCGTCACCGCAATGGAGTACGAGACTCGGCTTGTTGTAGGTATTCACACTCTCCGTCTGAAGATTGAAGGCAAGGCATCGAATGCGCTTGAGGTGCCAGCTGTCGTGCAACTTTTGCGAGGGCTGGTGGACAAGGGGTTGAAGATCCGGTGCATTATCTCGGATGATTGTGCGGCGCTGGGACCAAAGTTGCGAGCTATGAACATCGAGTGGCAGAAGGATTGCCACCGCAAAATAAAAAACATTCGAAAGCACTTCCAAAGTATGCTGCAACTGAAGGAAGCAAAGAAAGTGAGCAGCCCGCACGACTGTGTATCAGAGGCGCAACTCGTGCAGTTCACGAAGAAGCGGCTAAAGGAGGCATTGGAGCAGCGTTTTGGACCTGACGTCCTCACACCTGCTGAGGAGCGGCTGAAGAAATCGGACTTCGTCGCTGTCGTCATGCGAAAGATGTACCCCTACGGATCGAGGTTGAATGCTCGAGCGTTGGAGACTGATCCATACGGTTTGACAGAGTATCATGCGCATGAGGTTGGGATGTGGTTCCTCCGCGTTTGCCAGCTGTGCAGGGAGGAGGGCGGAGACGCCGACAGTCTACACCGCGACATCATGTTGGTCGCCGATCATTGGGCTGGTGATCATTCGGGATGTGTGGACGGTAGGGAGGTTCTGTGCGAGAAGGCCGGTGGGCGTGCACGATTGCCTTTGTATAGCCGAACGGACACGGTCTACGAGCTCAATCTGCGTGTTCTCGATAAACAATGCAGCACTAACATCACGCCGTACTACGTCGAGTTTCGGCACACATCGGCGGTGGAGACTTTTCAGGGCACCATCATTATCTATGCAAAGAAGTCGGTGCATTTCGAGAAGTCTTTCTGTGCACGTTTGTCGATCGCAGTGATTCGGGGGAACAGTCACTGCTGGCACGACCCTGTCGGGTATGTTGCTCGCATTGCTGCGGGCACTTCCATACGTGCGAGACCAGGCTTCCGTCGAYACTACGGTCACGAGGCGATCGAATGTTGGGAGGACAGATTGGCGGCGTCAGTGTTCGGTTCGGCTCATGTTTCAGACTGGGCTCGAGAGCTTCTGCGGCAGGAGGTTTGTCCTTATGGAGCCGGGCCATTGCCGCGTGATTTGTTCGTCAACGGTGGGGGCGACCCAGTGGAGGTCGTTGATGATGCTACCTCAGATTCTGGCCATGAGGCGGTAGGGGAGAACCATGTTTTCATCATCGGGCACGTGGAGGACGATGCGGTGCCTACATGCGATGATTGGGTCCAGACATTGAGTTCCGAATCTGAGGGTGACGATATAGAGTTGTTCAGCGTTTGACTGGTTGAATGGTTTTATCGTTAACCTGACATCAGTTTGGTGATCCGAATTTCATTGAGCATGACGTTGTTCACACACATCTCGTGGTGTCTTGCTTGTTACGCTACATTATGTCCGTCTCTTTACTTATATATATATATATATATATATATATATATATATATATATATATATATATATACATATATTTTTGCTCAGTCTGACTTCCAAGACTGATGGCGAGGCTGTATACTACCCCGTAGGGTTACATTTGTATTTTTGTTCGACTGAGTGCTAATTGTCAGGCGAACCTGTGAGGAAAATTCGTGAGGGCAATATCTGTACATATGGGAAATATAGGCCTAGCAGTATTTTGAATTTCCTATACGTACCCTTGCTGTGAATGGCAGGCCCGGACTACCCCCAGGCCATTGCCGCGTGATTTGTTCGTCAACGGTGGGGGCGACCCAGTGGAAGTCGTTGATGATGCTACCTCAGATTCTGACCATGAGGCGGTGGGGGAGAACCGTGTTTTCATCATCGGGCACGTGGAGGACGATGCGGTGCCTGCATGCGATGATTGGGTCCAGACATCGAGTTTAGAATCTGAGGGTGACGATATAGAGTTGTTCAGCGTTTGACTGGTTGAATGGCTTTATCGTTAACCTGACATCAGTTTGGTGATCCGAATTTTATTGAGCATGACGTTGTTCACACACATCTCATGGTGTCTTGCTTGTTACGCTACATTATGTCCGTCTCTTTACTTATATATATATATATATATACATATATTTTTGCTCAGTCTGACTTCCAAGACTGATGGCGAGGCTGTATACTACCCCGTAGGGTTACATTTGTATTTTTGTTCGACTGAGTGCTAATTGTCAGACGAACCTGTGAGGAAAATTCGTGAGGGTCATATCTGTACATATGGGAAATATAGGCCTAGCAGTATTTTGAATTTCCTATACGTACCCTTGCTGTGAATGGCAGGCCCGGACTACCCCCAGTACAGACAGGCCCTAATGGCCTAAGCTGATGGACGGTTCTATAGCCTATAGTCAGGTTCGGTACAAGCCGAGAGACCGAAACTGCAATGGTGTTGGTCGGTTAGTCAGTCCGGTATAGGTGTAGGTTAGATTATTGTACTCTATTAGTAGAAGGAGGGAAATCGATTGGGGAACAAGGGACTGGAACAAACTTTGTTATGATATTCGTTCGAGTAGGTTCATCATGAGCATCATATGAATTGTGATCTTGCTGAGGTTCTTTATTGTGATTGTTTGTTGGGAGTCTGTCAGAGAGTGAGAGTCATTATCTGACCTCCCCCATGTGTGCATGGTTGAATTCCCCTGCTTATCCTTGTCTGTGTGCAGTTTTGACTCTGTCACCTCTCCCCCTCTTCTTATGCATGTGTGGGCGTGTTTGAGATTTTTTGCGTGTGAGTGCCGAAAAAAAATCGTCATACATTATTGTGATATATATATATATATATAATGTTTTATTGTTTTTTTTTTCCACACATGTGATGGTATCTTATGTCAGTTTTTTGAACTTGAGTGGCGAGAGCGAGGATTAGAGTCGTTTTTTTCACACATCTAATGCTACAATGACATACAATAGCAAAAAGAAATAAATGAACTTCAAATGAAAGATCGAGGATTATAAGAAGAAGAAGATGATGTACACCAGGGAAACCCAATTTTACATAATGCAATCCCTGCAAGTCACGACAATAGGAAATGTCAGTTTTCATGCACACACTGTCAGACTTACATACGTACTCACACTGAAGGCAAGCATACTCTCTCTCTCTCTCTCTCTCTCTCTCTCTCTCTCTCTCTCTCTCTCTCTCTCTCT